CTGAGTACAGGATGGTGGGCAGCCGCATGCAAACCCTACCCCCGAGTACTGGTTGTCGAATCGAACAAGCAGGGGTTCACCAGCGCGGGTTCGGAGACGGGGGTGAAACCCCACCTGTGGACCCTTACTGGTCCAAACCGAAAGGCTGTAGCCCCAGACCGCAAACCTCTAACGTCATGATGAACCCCCAAATGGAGGTCGGAACCGGAGATGGTTCCGCCGGCCAAGGGGGGCAAGCCAAAAACGGAACTGGCAAACGGAAAACGGACACCAAAGCACGGAAAACGTGCCGCCGCGGGGACGAACACACCAAAGCTGGAAACGGAAAACGGAAAATAGAGAACGGACACCGGAGAGGAAACGAGGCCATCCGAAGGAGGGGACCGAAGGAGCACCCCAGAGAGGACCAACAACACATCCGAGATAAAAACCTCATGCGCCCCGCGGAGACCCCACAGAGTGTCCCGCACTGGCGCAAGCAAGCGCACGCCCGAGCAAAAGACCCCAAGGGGGCACCAAGCGAGGGCCCAAGAAGCTCTGAGGATGGCCCCGCGAGAGGCTTAGGAAAGTCCCACGGTGGGGTTCCTTGGGTGGACCATCCACGGAACTGCCCCAACGAAAAGCCCGGGAGGAACTCGAAATCCCGGGCCCAAGGAGCCTCCAGCAGGTATCCAGCGAGCCTCAAAGAAGAGCCCAAGGGGGGCCCGAGAGAGCCCTGCGGCGGGGCTCCTGGGGGATCCGACCGACAAGATCAGCCCGCGGTGGTCATAGTCCCGCCGCGGAGCTCTCTTGGGCCCCTCTTGGAGCTCTGTTTGGGGCCGCTTTCGGCCTTCGCGGGCTCTCCTCGGGCCTCTCTTGGGGGCTACTTGGGTTCTTTCCTGCAGCTGTCGTGGGCTCGTGCATGGCCCACCGCCCACCCAAGGGGTCCGTGGGTCTGTGGGTGGCCCACCCAAGGAACCCCACCTCGGGTGCTACCTTGGGCCCCCCTTGGGACTCTTCTTGGACGCCCTTTCGGCCTCCGTCTGTTCTCCTCGGGCCCACTTTTGGGGGCTCCTTTGGCCGTGTCCTGTAACTCCGTGGGCTTGTGCGTGGCCCGCCCAACGAGCCCCGCCTGGGGGCCCGATTTGGCCCCTCTTGGGGCTTTCTTCGGGGTGCATTGGTGCTCCTGCTGGGGAGAGGACCAGAAGACCCCTGGAGAAGACCCCGTCGTCCTCGTCCTACTCGTCCTGGCCACGCTCGTCCTCCTGTCATCCTCGTCCTCGACAATGTCTCCGCCGTCCTCGCGAGCCCTCGGTTGGCCTGTGGTGGGCCACCCACAAGGCCAACCGAGGCTTCAGGAAATGACCCAAGGACTATGTTGTTCACATCGTACTTCAAAGCCACATCCCAGAAATAATTTCGAGCATCCAGAACATTCCGAACCAGTGCGAGTATCGCCTCCCAGGGCCCGACGCGTGAAAACCTTCCACTTTCGGTATTTTCTTGGCGCTCGAGCTTCTTTCTGGTGATCAAGGCTAGACAATTAGTTGGAACATCATAACCCAAGGAACCCCCCAGCGGGGGCCGAAGGAGCCCCCACCACGGGCCCCAATGAGTTCCGAGGCCCCGCGGTGGGGCTTTTTGGGCGGCCCGCGCACGCGCTCCGCGGAGGCCGCAAGGAAAGACCCATGGAACCCACAAGAGGGGGGGCCTGAGGAGAACCCGCGAAGGCCGAGAAAACCTCCCCCTCCTCCTCCTCCTCCTCCTCCCTCCTCCCTCCTCCCTCCTCCTCCTCCTCCTCCTCCTCCTCCTCCTCCTCCTCATCATCAATTCCTTTTTCTTGCAAATCCGCCGACCCCTTGTGGGTCTCTAGGAGTGTGGGATTCCCCCCCTTAGTACCCCCCCCGTCTGGGACCCCAAACCGGCAATTTGACACCCCCCTCGCCCCAGACGGCCCACGGCCGAACGCACCATGGGGGAACAGAGGGCCCCAAAACGAGCCAAGAGGGCACCACAACGCCTCCCTGACCGTCCAAAAGGGCGACGAATCGCCGACATATCCTTCAAGGACGCCCACGATGGCTTCCAGACAACCCCTGAAGCCCCCAAGGCGGCCCAAAAGGCCCCCAAGACGCGGCCCAAGCGAACCTGAAGAAACATAATTTGTATATATATATATATATATATATATACATATAATATATATATATAATATATATATATATATATATATATATATTATATATATATATATATATATACATGTATGCATGTAAGTATGTATGTTTGTATGTTTGTAGGTATGTGTGTATGTATGTATGTTTGCATGCATGCATGCATGAATGTATGTATGCATGTATGTATGTATGTGCGTGTATGTTTGTATGTATGCATGCATGTATGTATGTATGTATGCATGCATGCATGTATGCATGTATGCATGTATGTATGTATGTATGTATGTATGTTTGTATGTATGTATGTATGCATTTCTATAGATAACAAAATGCACCATGTTGGCCTTTCGCGGTTTTGCAACGTCCGACACCGGGCATGAAACCTCCCATACCCTCCCAGGACGGCCTCGGCAACTGCCGAAAGAAGCCCCAAACGGCCCAAAGACGGCCCAAGGAACGCCCAAAAAAGGCCCCAAAGAGCCTCCAGATGGCCCCGACAGGGAGCCCGGAGGGTAACATTTTGGTCCTTTGGCTCCGAGATTCCCTCATCCTGCTGCGAGAACCTCCCAAGAGGGTCTCACGGAACCCCAAACGAGGCCCAAAAGGCTCCCAACATGCTCCCAGACAACCCCCAAGAGGCCCATGCACTACCTGCAAGACGCCCCCCTGACGCCTCAATACCAGATCGTGACTCCTCCTCCTCCTCCTCCTCCTCCTCCTCCTCCTCCTCTTCTTTGACTCTCCTTCCGCCTCTCCCCCGTCTTCCCCCTGCTCCTCCTCCTCCTCCTCCGCTTTCACCTTCTTCGCGTTCCTCTTTTCATCGGCTTCGCCCTCCCTCTCGCTCGCGCCCACGTTGGTCCTACTTCTACGGGCCATGGCACGGGCGCCCTACTGGTATCAATTGCATGCCTTGCATTCCAAGGTGCCCTTCTTCTCGTCACGCGCGACATGGCTCGCCTCCGCGGTAAAAGCCGACTTCGGCAATTTCCTCTGGCGCATGCCACTGCGCTGCAAGGCCTGCCAACTGCGCCACGTGAGCCCGTCGGCAATGCAATCTCCGTGTGCAACTTTACTCTTTCTCGTGGAGTGCTCGCTCTCCTGTTTGGCGCTTATCTGCCCCTGCCGAGCGAACTGTTTCTTGCACCCTGCGCACATCAACAATCGTTTCAACCGCTTCGACTCATCGGCCACACCCTTCGCGGTGATGCCCCGCTTATGACAACTTTCGCACGCCACTTTTGCTCCTTCAATCGCCCGGTGGCCCTCCATTTGGTTGCGGTTCAAATGGCCGACCTGCCAAAAAGACACCCCGCAACCGGGCGCGCCGCACGTCTGCGGCTCCGCTTCCGCCTCCGCTTTCCGTTTGCGATTGCCTGCTTCGTAATTTGTCCACAGCGCCGCCTTCTCCCGCTTCTCCGCGCCCGCTGCGTCGTGCTTCTTCTGAGCTTCCGACATATCCGCCCTAGTCGCACAGCGACAGGCGCTTGTCGTGCGAACGTCGTACTGCGCCGACGCTCTCGTTCTACTTCGCGTTTCCGCTCCGCGACTTCTGCTTGGCGTTGACATGGCTGCACTTCGCGCAATAGATTGTCCGAATCCTTTTTCTCCCCCTCGTCGGCCGCTGCGTTCCCGCTCCGACCGCTGACGTGCCGCATTGCACCGTCATCCTCCGCTTTGGTTGCCCACCCTCTGCGCATTGTGCGCCATTTCCCGTCCGCGTTTTTCATATCTCCCGTGCACTCTTTGCAAAACGCCGGCCTCTCCTTCCTCTGGAACTCGTATTCCGTGAACGCCTCTACCAGCAACCTCCGCCGGCAGCGCTCGCCGCTCGCATTGGTCTCGGGGCATTAATTCCGCCTCCCGCTTATCCCAGTCAACGCCCTCCCCTCGTAGCGCCAGCAATATTTTTTTCGTGCCAGCCATCTCACCTTCGTTGTGCGGTTTCCTATCAAAAAAACCGGAAAATCAAAAGGTTCTCTCCCTTGCGCACGCGCGTGATGGTAACGTAACTTGACATCCAACTCACGCCGCGTCCTTCTTCAAGGTCCGCTATCACTGCCCCCATGGTCTGGCCCTGCGCTGAGTGCGCCGTCGCTGCCAAACACGGGGTTCTCATAAACTGGGTGCGTTTCGCACTCAATACTGTACTGGATGCTTCCGGAGAGGGTCGTTCTCTGGGATGATGTTGGGGCGTCCTGAAGTCCTCAATCGTTCTCAATATTAGTTGTTGGTGATCGAATATTGAATGGCCCCATGCCTACATGTGCCGCGACTAAGGCAGCGCTTTTCACCCGATGGTTGGAAGTTCGCCGACCCCTTGTGGGTCTCTAGGCGTGTGAAATTCTTCTCCCCCCCATACTCCCCCACACCCCCTAGGACCACAAACTGGAAATGTGACCCCCCCCCCCGGCCGAGGACGACCCACCCCGCAAACTCACCTTTGAGGCTTCCCACGAGGCCCCCAACACGGCCCAAGAGGGCCTCAAAATCGCCGAAAGTTCGCTGCCAAACTCTCACAATGGGCTCCAGACGGTCCTGGATGTTTGCAAGACGTCCCAAGAGACCTACAAGTGGCTCCTGGAGAAGGGCCCAAGACGACAAAGTCGTCCAATTCCCTTGGGTGAACGTATATGTTTATCAGATTCGATTGTTGGCTTGTTACTACGTCCAAAACGGGCCAAAAAGCACGCAAGAAGGCTCCAAAACGGCCCAAAAGACCCCCACGACGGCCAAAGAAACCGCCAAGACGGCCCAAGAAACCCCATGACCAACCTAGGAAGCCTCCAAACCGGCCCCGACACGGACCCAAGACGGGAACCCCGAACAGAAACTTCGAGCCTTCTG